ATTCGAACCCGCGACCCGCAGATTGCGAGTCGAGTGCCCTAACCTCCTGGCCATGTCGGGCCTACTGACATAATAAATGTATTGGTTAGCGTATCAGACTGGGGATCCGAGAGTCTTAGGGGGAGAATATAAATGTAAAATTGTTTTTTGAGAAAACATCTTCTTTCCCCTGAGATTATTGAGAGAGAAAAGCATGACCAAACCTTAATGTTAAAATAAAAGGAACTGAAAACTTGGACTTGGAAATAATTATAGATATGGATGACGTTAAAGAAAGCCATCTATGATTTGTATTTACTTATATAGCGCGAGGCAAAATATTACTAGTATCTTACTTTGTTGAAAATATTTCAAAATAAAAATATATTTGAACAGTCGATTCAATAATTAAAATGATTTTGATTAGAAACCGTTCTAAGTACGAGTTTGTTTGTTTTTTAATCCGACGAAGAATACTATTATCTAAGAACATCAAAAGGCACGTGCTTATTTGGTCACGTTAGGTAAAAACTTGGCCAGGGTGAGGGTCCACGTGATTACTGAAGTAGTATTCAAGGGTCATTAAAGTCGTACCGGTGGTAAGTTTACGGACTTATAACGCTAAAATCCGGAGTTCGATTCTCCGCGGTAGCCAATGTGGCTTGGCCTTTAAAATAAAATCTTTGTTAATAGTGAATTCCTTTCACAGCAAGCATTGAAAGTTTCTTACTGAAAACTGAATTACATTCACCATTAAGTAACCTGTTTCTCTCTCCGCCACCTAGTGATCAATTTTCTTTTATTTCTTAATTGATCCACAATTGTTGTATCCTTAGTGACCAGCTTAATTGTTATTGTCATAATGACCAATATATTTTCTTACACCTAGTTACCAGTATTATTCCAACCACCTAGTGACTAGTACTCCCTCCCCCCCTAGTGGCACAGCAGTATGTCTGCGGACTTACAACGTTAGAAACAGGATTTCGATACCCGTGATGGGCAGAACACAGATAGCCCATTGCGTAGCTTTGTGCTTAACTTCAAACAAACAAACTTCTATGACTAGTACTATTATTTTTGCCACCTAGTGGTTTGTATTGTTTTCGCCATCTATTAATTAGTAATATCTTCGCCACCTAGTGACCAGAACTAATATTATTCTTACCTTCAATCAAACAGCTGTGCTCGACATCTCTGGATATTTTTTATAGACGGTTATAATGTTTATTCTGGAAAAGTTTGCATCATGTTATCATGTTGTCTAACGTATTGGAGGTAGTGTTACTTGCCAACACGTCATACCTATGCTAAGACTTAATTGGTGAATTCTTATTGTAAGCAATAAACTATGTAGCGGCTAAAAGCGTTGTATTTTATTTATTTCAGTCATACTATTCTCTTCGAGCTCAGGTACCTTTTAATTATAGTGTCGGTGTTAATAGGTAGGACAGAGATAAGTCTTCGGATTTACAACACTAAAATCAGTGGTTCGATCCCCTTAGGTGGACACGGCAGATAGCCCGATTTGGCTTTGCTATAACAAAATACACACACAGTTAATAGGTGTAAAGTGTTATTTTTTTTTACTAATCCATGTGTTGGTCTGGAAACTTCCCTAACTAAAAACCAGTAATACTTTAAAATATTTCGCAACAAACATTTTTTGCGATTTTCTTGCGTACATTCATACCTTGGGAGGTTTCGTAAGCACAGATGTACTCAGACGTCAGGACTTCCCTAACTAAAAACCAGTAATACTTTAAAATATTTCGCAACAAACATTTTTCGCGATTTTCCTGCGTACATTCATACCTTGGGAGGTTTCGTAAGCACAGATGTACTCAGACGTCAGGAACTGGGACGTAAGAGAGGATATCCCGACATCTGGGCTGCCAGTGATTAACACTCGGTATCGGACGCTCTCGGTGATAATAACAGGGGGCACATCCGGAGTCTCAGCACCAGGGAAAGCTACTGACGACAAGTTGGGAGTAGAGGGTGGTGTGATGTTGCTATGGGGAGGCTGAGATCCGACAGACGAGATACTATGATTGCTCCGAGACTTGGAGCGGAAAGAGTCCCCGCGATTTATCACTCCTTTGGATGTCACGGAAAAGTTTCTGAGTCTCTCGAAGTCACTCAACTCGACTGGCAGAAGTAGGGATTGATCAGAGGAGGATCGGGTGGTTAGATTAGGGTCTAGTTGAAGTGCCATATCTACTGGAATACTAGCGATTCGCTGCCGAAAACGATTATTAGGCTCCAAAGACCTAGGTCTTTGAGCTGTTCTCATAGACTGAGACCGGCCAACGGTGTTATCTTGTTTCAGCGAGTTCTGGCTTATGCCCCTGGGTTGAGGACTGCTGGCTCGTGACACGGTCAACTTTGTTCCTGGACTGACGCTGAGTGACCCTCCACGACCAGGGCGGCACGTGGCTTCATACTGGTTTAGTTTCAGGAGATCAGGAGCACTCCGTAGGTAGGAGACATGGCCCAACAAAGTAGCCCTGGGAATAGGGGGGCTCAAGTCACTGTCTCCTTCCGGGTTTTTCTCCAAGGTCATGATTGCTTCTCGTTTTCTTAAAGATAAGATTAAACTGACCAAAACAGTAGGTTTTTGTTTCTATATTATAAATGGCAAAGTATTTTAACTACTAAACATTAGCAAGATGTTTTCCTTATTTCTTACCCACGTTTTCTTCCTGATATCGACAATGAGTATCTTTCGGCCTCACGAGACAGCGTGGTTTTATCCGTTCGCAACACGCCTTGCGTGTTGTGACGTCACACACGCGCAGCCGAAAAGCTTGCTTGGGTATTTAGTCGCTAGAACACTGAAAGTGACACACTGTAAACTCCTAAATGTCTAAACTAAATAAATGGTTACAAACATTTCATATATATTGAGCTCAAAGGTTCCGTCGTTCTTAAAATGCTTGTCAAATGTAACACTTACAGAAAAAAAGGGCGTGTTACAGAAAATTTTCAAAAGAGCCGAAACAAACAAAAAGTGTTGATAATATAAGTGGACTATTTTTATTTTATTTTATACTTATAATTAAAACGTTAGGCAATAGGTTTGGAATTTACGCCAGTCTATCTTGACACTTCAATATTGGTGGAATGTCCTAGTTTGAATATATAATTTCTCCGAAAGAGGGCCGAAGGCCACCTGAAGGGGTCACCTGTTTTAACCACTCGCACCAATATACAGTAATGCGTTGTCAGTCAGTTAGTCAGTAGACACTAAAATAACGTCACATAAGGGACTGTTGATATTGCAATTTGTACTGTCGTGACGTCAGTAAAACGTGCGCATGCTACGAATCACGAGAAGAATCATGCACTCTGTAGGCTACAACATAGTATGACATATGAACTTCAAAAGCAAGAAATAAAAATGTTTGTTACTCTTAATTTTGGTTTTATTTGCTCTCGAAACAAAACACTTTCGGGGACCCTGCGGAAGTTAGTCTAATAGTGCACAATTGTTTATCATATGTTGCATCAGCGGTAACAATAACAACGAATACACTCGTTTTCCTGATGCAAGTGGACAGTCACAAGAGATCAGAAATAAAAAAAAGGGCTAATTTTCTAGCGAATTTCAGTTTTAAAGCGAATGAAGATAACTTGCAGCTAATTTAATTACTTAACTAACCAAAACAAAACAATATTGGTAGTTGTATTATGTTTAATTGGATGTGTAAGACAGAAAATACCCGGATTCAAACACGGCTGACGGATGTTGGGTTCAGAGAAAACCCTATGTGATTGTGTTAACTTTGTTTATTTGTATTGTTGTTATGCGCAAAGCTACAAAACGACCTATCTGTACCGCGGGTATCGAAACTCGACACTTAGTTACAAGCCCTCAGACTTATCGTTGAGCCACCGAGGGAGCGGGGTTAAGTAGGCATAGAAAAAGTAGGCTAAGTTCTAACTCAATACACCTCTTGTTATTTTAAGAGCTCTAGGAAAAAAAACAAGACGGAATCCTCAATAGCCGCGGTACTTGAATTTTGTTTAGGCAGGATTAGAGTAAATTAACCTATGAGACCTTTGTTTCCCTTTTTATTAGCTACATTTTTGTGCCCCAGCAATACCAAGCATGGGGCGCGCGGTATACCCGATTTGATTTTATTACTCTACCAGCCTACCCTCAAATTGAAATTATTTTAGGCAGGATCAGAGTAAATTGATCTACGAGACGTTGGGTATGGTTAAATACATCAATCGAAAAGGTTTCACCTCCCGAGTCCAAAAACTATAATTAGATCTCAAATTGGTCATGAGATGTCGGATCTATGAGCTAAAAGTTTGTACTTAAAAAACAAACAAACTCGGAGCCGTTCAGCCGCGACTAAAAATTATGTTTAACAATACCAGTATTGTTAAATTAAGGTGTATACTTTTATTAGAATAAGCAAAAAAAACATGACATCATAAACGATGAGCTGAAATTATAATTTATCATTCGTTTTGCACCATAAGACTAAGTGGAATCCTGGGTAGGAAAGGTTTGGTGTATATATTAGGGTGGGTAGGAAAGGTGCCCTAATATATACACCAAACCTTTCCTACCCACCCTAATATATACACCATAAGCAGCCCAACACGCTAACAACTAAGTCCGCCCTAAATAATATTTAATATAACTGAGTATTAATAGACACTTGTATTCGTGGCAAAAGGTTTTTGTGACACTTTAAAAAAATCTATATGTTTTTTGTTTGTTCACTGAAATATACATCAAACCTTTCGAACCCACCCTACTATATACACCACACCTTTCCTACCCACCCTAATATATACACCACACCTTTCCTACCCACCCTAATATATACACCACACCTTTCCTACCCACCATTAGGTCTGGGGTTCGAGATGTTAGGCTACTAGACACATTTCGCACGTTCAGCTGCGAACGCATTATAAAACTGACAGCTATTCGGTCAGTAGTTCAAAATTGGATCGTAGGGGGTCTCTGACTTGGCTGTTTTCATTTTGAAAATCTCCGTGGATGAAACGCAACAATTTCTAAACACCATAAAGTATCGTACGTTTCGGTGGCTGTAGAGTTTCTTTAATGAACTTTGCCAAGTACTAACTTTTGTTAAACACATACACGAGTAAAAAATAGTTTGTTAAATTTCAAGCTTCACTCCATGAAATGGATTAGAAAAGTGATCCAACTCATAAGGGATCTATTTTCTAGAGCAAACTTTTTGTTTTCAAAAACGCTGGAGCTGTTATAAAGATGCGCGTATCTTTACATGCCTCCAACATTTTTGATACTATAGTTAACAGCATCTACGGATACAATTTCTCTTAGTTTGCAGAAACATAATAAGTTTAACTTTATTAAAACTCGTTCACCTTGCCAAGTCAAAATTACAGTAACGAGCGGTAAACTTCTAGCTCGTCTTTAACCCAGATTAACGCGTACTGATTAGTGAGTGGCGTAACGCTGTTGATCAGATTGCGTGTGAACTTTTGAGGAATCCAGAAACCGTTGATAAAGCAGCGAAACAAGTGCTGCTTACAGCTTGTATTAACAACAACAAATCGTGTTGCAAAAAAAAAGAAAAATGAGGACTTTTATTTGTTTGTTGGTAAACACAAAGCTACATAATTGGCTACCTGTACTCTATACGCCGCGGGTATCGAAACCAGAATTTATAGGTCTATAAACTCTCCGACTTGCCGCTAAGTCACAGAAGGACGAAAAAAAAAGGGAACAAGGTTTCACCATTTTAGTTCCTATGGTTACGGAAACATCCATTTTCATACGTTTCTAAAAAAAAATAGACCATCTTAAATTATCTTGTACACCCTGCTATTATAGCAGTATATTTAAACGGACATCTTTTTGTATTAGTTGCTTTCAGCATATGAAAGCGTTTCTTCGTAAGAGGAGTTTTGTAATACGTACTAATGAAGTAAGGAGCTTTGTAACCACGTACTAATGAAGTAATGAGCTTTGTAATGCGTACTAATGAAGTAAGGAGCTTTGTAACACGAACTAATGAAGCAAGGGGTTTTGTAACACGTACTAACGAAGTAAGGAGCTTTGTAATACGTACTAACGAAGTAAGGAGCTTTGTAATACGTACTAATGAAGTAAGGAGCTTTGTAATACGTACTAATGAAGTAAGGAGCTTTGTAACACGTACTAATGAAGTAAGGGGTTTTGTAATACGTACTAATGAAGTAAGGGGTTTTGTAATACGTACTAATGAAGTAAGGAGTTTTGTAATACGTACTAATGAAGTAAGGGGTTTTGTAATACGTACTAATGAAGTAAGGGGTTTTGTAACACGTACTAATGAAGTAAGGGGTTTTGTAATACGTACTAATGAAGTAAGGAGTTTTGTAATACGTACGAATGACATAAGATGATTACATAGTGAAGCAGCTCCAGATATTAATAATTAGCTGATAACAGGGAGTTAAGTAGTCGGGTATCTACCGGGGATAGCGTAATTAGCTGATAACAGGGAGTTAAGTAGTCTGACATCTACCGGGGATAGCGTAATTAGCTGATAACAGGGAGTTAAGTAGTCGGACATCTACTGGGGACAGCGTAATTAGCTGATAACAGGGAGATATGTATTCTGGTAGCTACGGGAGATAGCATAATTAGTTGATAACAGGGAGTTAAGTAGTCGGGTATATACGGGGACAGCGTAATTAGCTGATAACAGGGAGATATGTATTCTGGTAGCTACGGGGGATAGCATAATTAGTTGATAACAGGGAGTTAAGTAGTCGGATATCTAGGGGGGATAGCGTAATTAGTTGATAACAGGGAGTTAAGTAGTCAGGTATCTATGGAGATAGCGTAATTAGTTGATAACAGGGAGTTAAGTAGTCGGGTATATAAGGGGGTAGCATAATTAATTGATAACAGGGAGTTAAGTAGTCGGGTATATAAGGGGGTAGCGTAATTAGTTGATAACAGGGAGTTAAGTAGTCGGGTATATAAGGGGGTAGTGTAATTAGTTGATAACAGGGAGTTAAATATTCGGGTATAAAGGGGGATCGCGTAATTAGTTGATAACAGGGAGTTAAGAAGTCGGGTATATAAGGGGGTAGCGTAATTAGTAGACTAAATATTCAAGTAACTTTGGTTTGTTTGTTTGTTGTTAAGTGCAAACTATCCTGCCATAACAGGTATCAAAACTCGCGTTTTAGTGTTATAAGCATTTAGACTTACCACTGAATCACGGGGATTCACCTACTGGAGGATAGCCTAATTAGGCGTCAAAAAAGGATTTTGTAGTCAAGTAAATAGGGGTGGATAGCGTAATTAGATGACTGTAGAGGATTAGATAGCCAAGCAACTACTGAGACAGATTAAGGAATTAGGTGACTACATACAGGTTAAACAGGTGATTTACTAATCAGGAGGATAAAAACTGAGATTATCCTGACGTGTTTTCTTATAGAGATTAAGGAATAAGGTGAATATTATATAAAGTTAGTATTGGAGATGAATATTCGAATGGACCAAACGTTTCCTTATAGACAGCGAGTGGGGATGCATATCAAAGGGTCCAGAGTTCGAGACGTCATGCCGATAAACACGTTCTACACTTTATTTTGTAAGCGTGTAATAAAAGCGTTTGCTCAAAGTTACCCCAAGTCTACCTGAGCTAGCCGTCCTAATTTTGAAATGATATCGTACAAGAGGGAAGGCAGCTAGTCAACATCACCCACCGCCAATTCTTGTCTGACTAAATATTGGGATTTAGAACGCACTCACGGCCGCAAAGTACGAACGATTGATCGCTTGTTAAAATGGCAGTCAGTACTGTTATTCGGTTCAAATTGGCGGATAACGATCTGGTAAAGGCAAATCAGTTATCATTAATAGTTCGAAATTAGAGACGACTATGCCTAAACTCTGGTGGTTTCTAACGTGTCCGTCTAACCCACGTACGCACAATGTATGGAACAGGCTGGAAATACCAATACAAAATATTTCACATTTTAGTGAATTATTTGGTTAAATAATGATTCAAAATATTGTACCAAGCTGGATACGTTATACACATATCACAGTAACATTATTAAATCTTTGACTTAGGTTGGTTCTCTTTTAATATCTAATTTGTCAAAACAAATACCGACTGTCCAATAGAAGCATTTTCTTGGAATTAAAAATTATGAGCATCGTACAGGTAGCGCCATCTTTTGGTGACATATTATAAAAACATTTTAACTGCTAATCTTAAAGACCCGTTCTAAACTTCATCGGGATTAACGTCAAAGTTACTAGAAACATTGTCTAAATTCCCATCTAACGAAAAACTGTATAACTATCTGGTCAAATTATTAATGATTTTCAAACTTACTATCTTTAATTATAATAAAAGTATTAAGGCTACATACAAATAGTTTACTAATTTCGATTAGATCTTATTTTTATTAACCACCATTTTAAGACATTGGTTTATGAACAAGGTAAATGTTTCACTAAATAATACAGATCCGCTTGGCTACATTGAAGCTTGACAAACCTTAGTTAAAAACAATATATATATATATATACACACACACACACTTACTTCAATGACACTGTAATACATGAAAAGTGCCATAAAAAATATTTAGAAAAAATAATTTGAGCATTTTAGTGTACATATATATACACATATAGTTATCTATAATTGATGCCTCTTTCTCTGTAATTTGAGATGTAATTAATTTTGTAAATACATGTTAGGGATGAACTAATAAGTACGGAGTGCAATCAGTAGATTAACACTTTTATAAAACAACAGCCTAGTGGTAGTGGAGTTTCGTTTGGATTTTGCACAAAAGTATCTGTCTCTAATTTAGCAGTAATTGTGGAAAAAGCATTCTGGAAGTGTAACACTTGAGTAAAAACCAATCTTGTGATTTCTGGAAGTGTAAAACTTGAGTAAAAGCCAATATTGTGATTTTTGGAAGTGTAACAGTTGAGTAAAAACCAATCTTGTGATTTCTGAAAGTGTAACAGTTGAGTAAAAACCAATCTTGTGATTTCTGAAAGTGTAACAATTGAGTAAAACTAATCTTGTGATTTCTGAAAGTGTAACACTTGAGTAAAAACATTCTTCTGATTTCTAGAAGTGTAACACTTGAATAAAAACCAGTCTTGTGATTTATGTAAGTGTAACACTTGAGCAAAAATAGTCTTGTGATTTATGGAAGTTTAAAACTTGAGCAAAAACATTCTTGTGATTTCTGGAAGTGTAACACTTGAATGAAAACCAGTCTTGTGATTTCTGGAAGTGTAACAGTTGATCAAAAACATTCTTGTGATTTCTGAAAGTGTAACACTTGAGCAAAAATAGTCTTGTGATTTCTGGAAGTGTTACACTTGAGCAAAAATAGTCTTGTGATTTATGGAAGTGTAACACTTGAATAAAAACTAGTCTTGTGATTTCTGGAAGTGTAACACTTGATCAAAAACATTCTTGTGATTTCTGGAAGTGTAACACTTGAATAAAAACCAGTCTTGTGATTTCTGGAAGTGTAACACTTGAATAAAAACCAGTCTTGTGATTTCTGGAAGTGTAACACTTGATCAAAAACATTCTTGTGATTTCTGGAAGTGTAGCATTTAAAATGAAAGCATTTTTTGTGATTTATAAAAAGTAACGCTTGGAAAACATTTTATGTGATTCATAGAGAAGTAACACTAAGAAAACATTTTTGTGATTTATAGAGAGTTAACATTTGGAAAACATTTTTGTGATTTATAGAGAGGTAACATTTGGAAAACATTTTTGTGATTTATAAAAAGGTAATACTTGGAAAACATTTTTGTGATTTATAGAAAGGTAATACTTGGAAAACATTTTTGTGATTTATAGAAAGGTAATACTTGGAAAACATTTTTGTGATTTATAGAGAGTTAACATTTGGAAAACATTTTTGTGATTTATAGAGAGGTAACATTTGGAAAACATTTTTGTGATTTATAGAAAGGTAATACTTGGAAAATATTTTTGTGATTTATAGAGAGTTAACATTTGGAAAACATTTTTGTGATTTATAGAGAGGTAACATTTGGAAAACATTTTTGTGATTTATAGAAAGGTAATACTTGGAAAACATTTTTCTGATTTATAGAAAGGTAATACTTGGAAAACATTTTTCTGATTTATAGAAAAGTAATACTAAGAAAACATTTTTCTGATTTATGAAAAAGTAACACTAAGAAAACATTTTTGTGATTTATAGAAAAGTAATACTTGGAAAACAATTTTCTGATTTATAGAAAAGTAACACTAAGAAAACATTTTTGTGATTTCTGGTAGTGTAAAAGTTTAGGTAAAACATTTTTGTCAAGTCTGTATTTTCTCAAATGCTGCTTTTCTTGTTTTTACTTTTTGAAGAATAACCATCTGAAATAAGCACAATAAGCGAAAGAAACAGTTTTATTACTGCATAATCTTTTTCAACCTTACTTAGTAATTTTAGAAAATGACAAATTATTTTTCTAATCTATTCAATGTTTTGTCTTCATTAGCTCTGGTGTCCAAAGACAAGAGAAAAAATGATCACTTTGAATCTCCTGTTACTCATACAATTCATGTTAACTCATTACTCAAACCTTTTTCACAATTCTGTTGACAATCGCTGAAGATTACAATGGCTAGCCTATGTTACTTTGAAGGAGGTGGTAAAAAATACCAAACTGAACATGCTGTTCTAAGAATTACTGTGAATAAACTGAAATTTTGTTTAAACTTTTCAACCATCTTAGTCACACGGTAAAACATATTTCTTAGTTTGATATCTTAGTATTTTCTCTGCAGGTGTTTACATGAATAATCTATTGTCCTGAAGGATGACCGAATCAGGTGGATAGCCTTCCATATCTACCAGTAGGTAGCGATAGTCATACTTTCCTTGCTTGTTCTGTGGGAGAAGAACAATGCACAAATCAGGGTGCAGAAACATAAAGAAAGAAAATTTTAAAAATCTTTCTTATAGTCAATAATAATGTCCCACAAATAGAATAGCTAATATCAAAATGTCTAACAGCCAAGATTCAGACATGTGACAGCTTCAAAGATACAAACAAATGCAATGTACATTACAAACTGATGCAAAAAAATAAGAATTGACTGGTTAAAACACCAGATAAATTAATAACTTTACATTTGAATGTTCTTAAAAAAATTTGAGGCTTGGGTCAATACAATCATCACTTTGATAGTGTTTGAGTCACTCATTTTTACCAAGTTGACAGAAGTAACTAAAGTGGAGAAATCCACCATCCACGAACAAAAATTTCAGTTAAACCTCAGTTTTTATCAGCTTAATCCTACGAACAGGAACACAGAAAATAGTGCATTTTAGAAAAATATTCTATTTTTGTATCATTTTGCTTTAAATGATATTTCCTGAAAAATAAACCACAATGTTACTTAAGCATGTTATATTATATTTCAAATGAAAAATCAAATTCATTAGATAATCTTATTGTAAAATAAAAGGGA